CATGACGGCTACATTACTGAATCTTGAGCAGGTAATGTAAACTGACTTCCACACAACAGTAACCCTTCTACATTACAAGGCTTTGGTATTGACCACATCCCATCTTCAATGAGAAAAGGTGACAGACAAAGGAATCTTAACCAATGGGAAGTCTTTTGGATGTACAAATTACATGCTAGGGTACAGCCGAATTATTAGTACATCCACTAAAGTGCTTGTTTTTGATGGGCTCAGATTGCTATTTTAAGTGTCTGACAACATTATAGTAATGATCTCAATAGAGATTTAGATGTTGGTTTTGTTTAACCAGAAAATTGCTATCTTGCTCTTGTCGCCAGACTCCCTTAGCAAAAACTTTACCTCTTTGGTGTACCGCTGCCTTAATCGGGTAATTAAAAACACCAAAGTCACACTGTAACACAAACAAACAGACTGAGGCACAAGCAACTCCTGTGTTCTGCAAGGTAAATTTGGCTAGACTTTGCTGAGAATTTGCTGCAAAAACTGGAAAAAAGGACATGGAATTTACATACACAGGTTCAACAATGACTGAAATGAAATTAAAGTATTGTTATTTAAATTATATTAATTATAGAGGTTGTATTTTTCTGCTCAATCAACATTGTCTATTGGAAAGGACATTTGCAAATTACTAAATTGTTTTCCAATTTACACTGTGCTGACAAACGTAATCACTGCCTGGACAGGGTACCCCCAGGATTCTCAAAGCTAAATAAAGACTTAAAAAGACTTATACCACTTAGGATAAAATTTAATACCAACTTCACTGCCGTATAATGAAAAAGTTACGTGAATTTAATAAAACATTTTAGTAGTGCTACAGCGTCCACTGTGTTGACTTTTGCCGGCTGAGCAGGCTAACTTCCGGTTTAGCTAACGTAAATGGGGGTAAAATTGGCAGTTGTAGCCTTTTCAAATGTTACCGACCGACTGGAGCCAATTCTGATAGCGAAACAAGTCATTTCGCTCGGGTTGCGATGGTCAAATATATTGATTCACTGTGTTACAGCCGCCGTTTTGGCCACTAGTAAATGTTACTTCAAAGCACGGGGTACTTCCGGTCGGCTCGGAGGCCTTGCGAGGCTACCCAGCCGACCAATCACAGTGCTTACGGCCCGCGCCGACTCGACGTATAGTTACATTTTAGAGGAGGTGCACGTCAGGCGACGGCGTAGCCTCTGTGTAGCCCTGTAGCCTACGCCGTCACCTACGTATAAATTACACTGTGACTGACTTGCACTTCAATCCGCTTGTTGTGCTAACCTCAGCGCCACTGTCCTTAGCCTCGTCCACCAACTTGAAATTTAATACTTTAAAGGCCTTATTTTTTGGAATATGAAATTGAAGACTTTTTTAATACTTTTAAGACCCCACGGGTACCCTGCTGGATAATGTTCAGAGGGAAGATGTTGAATGAATGAAGCGCTACATTTATATACTCACATAAAGTCGCTGTGAGGTGGTCAGGGTGGAGTTAGGGCTAACAAAGTGCAGGATCCAGAGTCCCATTTGTGGAAGGTTTAAGCAACAAAGCGCTTTGCTTAAACCGTAAGTGTGGAACTTGTCTCCCCCTTCTGACAGTGAGAGTAATTACACACCACTGTCAACATATGCTTATGACGTATAGACTCTTCCATACTGACTTGCTGCGGTCACTGGAGTTGCATAAATATTGGGACATCGACACAATTCTAATCTTTTTGGCTCTATACACCACCACAATGGATTTGAAATTACACGAACAAGATGTTCTTTAACTGCAGACTTTCAGCTTTAATTTGAGGGTATTTACATCTAAATCAGGTGAACGGTGTAGGAATTAAAACAGTTTGTATATGTGCTTCCCACTTTTTAAGGGACCAAAAGTAATGGGATAGATTAACAATCATAAATCAAACTTTCACTTTTTAATACTTGGTTGCAAATCCTTTGCAGTCAATTACAGCCTGAAGTCTGGAACGCATAGACACTGGGTTTCATCCAGGCCTCTACTGCAACTGTCTTCAGTTCCTGCTTGTTCTTGGGGCATTTTCCCTTCAGTTTTGTCTTCAGCAAGTGAAATGCATGCTCAATCGGATTCAGGTCAGGTGATAGACTTGGCCATTGCATAACATTCCACTTCTTTGGTTTCTTTCACAGTACGCTTCGGGTCATTGTCCATCTGCACTGTGAAGCGCCATCCAATGAGTTCTGAAGCATTTAGCTGAATATGAGCAGATAATATTGCCCGAAACACTTCAGAATTCATCCTGCTGCTTTTGTCAGCAGTCACATCATCAATAACTACAAGAGAACCAGTTCCATTGGCAGGCATACATGCCCACGCCATGACACTACCACCACCATGCTTCACTGATGAGGTGGTATGCTTTGGATCATGAGCATTCCTGTTTATGAGGCTCCCCAATGGTTTACATCTTGTGGTGAACCCTCTGTATTCACTCTGGTGAAGTCTTCTCTTGATTGTTGACTTTGACACACATACACCTACCTCCTGGAGAGTGTTCTTGATCTGGCCAAATGTTGTGTTTTCTTCACCAGAGAAAGAATTCTTCGCTCATCCACCACAGTTGTTTTCCGTGGTCTTCCGGGTCTTTTGGTGTTGCTGAGCTCATTGGTGTGTTCTTTCTTTTTAAGAATGTTCAGTGAACAGTTGATTTGGCCACACCTAATGTTTTTGCTCTCTCTCTGATGGGTTTGTTTTGATTTTTCAACCTAATGATGGCTTGCTTCACTGATAGCGACAGCTCTTTGGATCTCATATTGAAAGTTGACAGCAACAGATTCCAAATGCAAATAGCACACTTGAAATGAATTCTAGACCTTTTATCTGCTCCTTGTAAATGGGATAATGAGGGAATAACACACACCTGGCCATGGAACAGCAGAGCAGCCAATTGTCCCATTACTTTTGGACCCTTAAAAAGTGGGAGGCACATATACAAACTGTTGTAATTCCTACACCGTTCACCTGATTTGGATGTAAATACCCTCAAATTTCATTTCAAATCCACTGTAGTGGTGTATAGAGCCAAAAAGATTAGAATTGTGTCGATGTCCCAATATTTATGGACCTGACTGTACATACACGTTTACACCCCTCACAATATTAATAGAAACAAACCAGCCACCATTATGTTTTCTTCTAAATATATTTTGTTGTTGCACAATAGTAAAAGTCTTGGGTGTACTACTACATTTCAAGATTCAATGAAGAGTTAAACTGTGCTGTTTCAGCTGAATAGATGTTGACTATTGGTACATAATGCTTGTATCTACGTAGTTTTCGGTTGTGATGGATTGATTGATTAAGGTGTGTGTTGACACTGATAAAAATGTAGCGTGAGAGATAGCACTCCTCTCCTGGATGACTGAAACCACTAACAACATCAGTTCAAAGGTACAGTGAACTGTGTGTGTGTGTGTGTGTGTGTGTGTGTGTGCTTGCGTGCAGGCAGAAAAATCTTTCAACATTGTAATGGTAGCATATCTGTGTAAGTGATCTTTTTAGGTGGGAAGTGTCTAGGTGTTAAGGAAGTTTTTCGGTGGAAGGATGGTTTACTCTTAACTACAAATCGTCTACTGCTAAATGGCATTGGTAAGATTGTATCAATACAGATACATATGATCATTTAATAAGAAGTCTCTGCAAGTATTCCTTGCAAGTAAGTCTTCCAAGTATTTTTAACTATACATGGTGAGCAGATCGGACAAGTCCAATTGTACAAATATTTGGGTATATTAATTGATGATCAGCTCTCTTTTAAGTTGCACATTGATAAGCTGGTACAAAAGTTAAAACTAAAAATAGGATTTATTTTTTTTGTTTTTCTTGGAAAACCAAGAGATTGGTTGCTGCAACCTTTCTCACTGCACTCGATTACTGTGACCTCTATAAGAATGAGCCTGGCCGATGTTTGTCTTTGTTCGATACTGTCTACCATAGTGCTTTGAGGTTTGTGACTAGATGTAAAGCATCAACACATCATTGTACTTTGTACAAAATGACAAATTGGCCCTCATTATCAGTGAGGAGGCACATACATTGGCTCACTTTTATTTACAAGTCTATGTTGCATATGCTCCCCTCTTATCTTTGCACTTATATATCATGCAACATCAGTTCCTATAATTTGCGCTCCGGTAACTTGTATTTGTTAAGAAGGCCTTTACTTATGCTGCCCCATCCACCTGGAACACATTGCAGACTGATTTGCAGTTGCAAAATCTGATCGCTTTTGGTGAATTTAAACACCCCATGAACAACTTGGAAGTAGAGGCTATAAATTGCTGTCACTGCTTTTAAAATAACTAAATCCTTAAAACTTACGGTATGTATAAATTGTATTTGTAAGTGGTCTAATGTTGTTTATTTATGTATCGTAAGGGTCTTGTTAATTGTTCTTTTGTTGTGCGTGTGCTCGTGTTCATATTTGTAACTGTGCTTTGTCAATATGCTGCTATTTTGGCCAGGTCTCTTTGGCCAGAGGTTTTAAATCTCAATGAGATCTGGTTAAATAAAGGTTAATTAAAAAAAATAACAAAAAATAATAATAATAAAAGGGGAACATTGTGAAAGCAACTGACAATTATTTTAGTTACTTTCAGCAAACAACTGTCTGGTAGCTTGGGTGCTATTTCACTTGAATATCTTTATATTTTAAAACACTTGAAGAGCTTTAGATTCTGAGAAGCTAACTGAGATAGAGAAATGACAAAAGTCACAAATGGTAAAGATGAGACGAGGTGAGCAGCACTTTGTTGTTATATTTCTAAGGGAGAGTCAACAGCAAAAAGAACAGTGTTTAAACAGACAGCAAAATATTTGCTTTTGAAAGTTAATAATTATGGATTTTTCTGTTAAGCGTTATCTTGACATGACAGTCAGTTGTCTTAGGCATTATTGCACCTGGCCAACAAACAGACAGAGGATAAGTGGACAGGCTGCTCTCTTGTGTCTGAATTTTTTTTTTTTTTAATGGCATGTTGGTTCCTGATGTTGCTGGCAACACCAACCGCCCAGGAGCATATAGATACGTCAGTTCTGGCAATCAGGAACTGCTAGTTTAAGAACGGTTGTCACTACCAACCAACTAATTTACATTTACTTTTTCAAAGCATCATTTCATATATTCATTTTCTACCTTTCAGGCAGCTGCTGATTTCAGTTTATTTCAGTACCCATGAAAATCAGCCTGCAGAGACTGACCAGTAAGTCATTTGTATGGAATATTTGCCCTTTTAATGATGCTCTCACATCACACACAAGTTTGTCTTAGACTTTTATGAGGACGTATGCAGACACAGGAGTAAAAGTAAAATAATTCTAATAATTGAGAATGTGCAAAAACAGAGAACCTCTTGCTTAGTTAAAGACATGACAGACATTTCATGACTGTGGATTGTGTTTACCCACCCACTAAAAGTCATTTTTCCAAAGACTAGAGTTTAGATGAAAAAACATTCTCCTGAAAAGCATTACTTACATTTGTGGGCAGCAGAGGGACTGTGTTATTTTACTTATACACACAACTAATAGCACGATGTTTCACTATAGTGTTTCACATTCAAATTCGTCATGCTTTGACGTGTATTAACACCCATTTTGCATTTTAGGGTGGAAATTCTGAGCACAGTGAGACACAGGCAGTTAACAGCAGATGAAATGCTGTTTTAGCTGACCTCCAGTGGTGTACGTTCACACCTTATCACAGGGATGTAGACGTGAATACAGCATGGTTCAGTACATGTCAGGAGTCATACCAACATACTGTATTGTAAGTGAAATTTTATTTATAATTACAAATCTCTTACAAGTTTTTCTTTTTGTCTGTACAGCCATATGAGCTGGTTGGTAAACGAGGAGCTGCTCTTCTCTACGTGAAGATGTGTTAATCAGTAAGCAGACTGTGGGAAAACAGTCAAGTATGATGACATTATGCTCTCGTTAAGTTGTAAAACTCAACCTGCAGTCAATCAAGTCACTTCCTCACATACCAGCATTGAGCTCTGGGGTTCATCGGTTCCTGAGGACTTTAAACGGGAGTCCGTGTCCTGGTATGATGACATCAACAATGCGTAGCGCCTCCTGGCGGCTGAGCTCCTGAACTGAAGTGTTCATACTCTGATCGCGCCAGCTGTCCTCATCTGAACAGCGCTCGAATAAGTCCCCTGCAACAAGCACCGTGCCCGCTGAGGTTCCCTTCACCAGGACGCTGACATCTTGTCCGGAGTGGCCTGGACTGGGAACTACAGATACCTGTGGGAGAGAGAAGACTGTGTAAAAACTGAAACTGTCAGGAGGCTGAGGGCTACGGAGTTCAGTCACAGTCTGACTCCTCTTTTTTCTTTTTTAAAGTCTCTTTTCCTCTATGTAGTGTTACTTTTGCCAGCTATTTTTAGATTAATTCTAAGTCCTAAGACCAAAAGTCCACGTTAGTTTTAGGCAGTCTAATCCTTTTTATTTTAATTTGACTAAAATTCTACACATTTTAATACGATCTGCAAAAAAATAAAACAAAAATCATAATGCCATTGTTTTGACAGACATTGTGATGAGTCACTATTTTAGAGGGAATGGTAATTTTTGAATTTATTTTCACAAAAAACGAAATTACAATGTGATTTCTGCTGGGGTCTGTGCTATAAAGCAACATACATACTTGCTTTGTTGGTATCGGACATGAGAAAGTGCTATTGAGCCATCCTCAGGTTCCACATGGCCCACATAGCAGACAAAACTAGTAATACAATCACTGGAACATCAGTTAAAGCTGGACAAATGCCCAATGGTGGGTCATGTTAATTGTTAATTAAAATATATAAAGCATTTCTATTTGAATTAATAAAGATGATTTTATGGATACTATCCCAATGCTGGGGTGGCTCTGTCTGAGAATTTCTTTTATCTTTCTGGACCCTACAGTCACAGCCACTTTATGCTGCAACTGCTCAGATGTAAAATACTCAGTTTGAACTTTGAACTCTCTCTCACACAACTACTTCTGTCACTTTTTATGTGTATAAATGAGTCAAAAAGGAGGGCTCTGGAGGGGTGATTAAACGATCTACTGAGACTTGTTATTTATCCAACCATCTAGAGTATATTATTATTGTATTTAACTTTTGCTTTTTGTGAGTCGCACGAAGGCACCTACAACTTCATCGTGTAAAACAACTCTGTGTTGTAAAATGATAAGTAAATCTACGGTAGCCCGCTTGTACCTTGATTAGGCTACTGCATCTTGCCCCTCTTGAATCACTGAAGACAGTGAGTCTGAAGGAGAGCAAGGAGGCGTACAGGAAGAAGCTGGAGAACAAGCTCCAGCAAAACAAAGCGAGGGAGGTGTGGTCAGGAATGAACAACATCACAGGTTCAAGGTGAAAGAAAATCAGGCTGAGGGAAGCCTGGACAGAGCTAATGAGCTGAATGTGTTTTTCAATAGGTTCAGCTCAGCTGCCCCCTGTCACACAAACCCCACACCCGGTTCCCTCTCACACCTCCTCAGTGATCAGGACAGTGCCACCCCATACCCCTCAACATCAACATCTTTCTCCCCAGCAGAAAGCGCCTCAGACTTCCAGCACAACTCAGAGTCCTGTCATCTCCAAAAATACTCGGATGACTCTGCAGTTGTTGGGTGTATCAACGGTGGAGATGAGACAGAGTACAGGGATCTGGTTGACCACTTTGTGTTGTGGTGTAGGAACAACCACCTGTTCCTAAACGTGACAAAGACGAAGAAGGTGGTGGTGGACTTTAGGAGGACCAGGAAAACAACACTGAACACCATTCACCTTCTAGGAGAGGAAGTGGAGGTGGTTGAGAACTTTAAATACCTGGGTGTGCACCTTGACAACAGACTGGACTGGAAGTACAACACTGAGGAAGGGCCAGAGCAGACTTTACTTCTTAAGGAAGCTTAGGTCCTTTAATGTATGCAGCAGGATGCTGTCAAAAGCGCTATTCTCTTTGCGGCCATCCGCTGGGGCTGCAGCATCAGAGCCAGTGACAGCAAGAGACTGAACAAGCTAATAAAGAAGGCTGGCTCTGTGCTGGGGTCTGCTCTGGAGCCCCTGGAGTTGGTAGTAGAGAGAAGAATGTTACACAAACTATTCAACATCATGGACAACACTTCACATCTGCTGCACAACCTGCTGGTCGGGCAGCAGAGTGCATTCAGCTGGAGACTCCTACAACTCCACTGTAGCAAGAACCGTTACAGGAAGTCCTTCCTACCCACTGCCATCAGAATACATAACAACTCTCCTGTGTGCAGGGAGAGGAGACTGAATGACATGTGACTGACATTACATTATAGTTAAACACCAACTCTCAATATTTGCAAGTGATACTAAATTGCACATCCTGAATATGCGCACAGTTGCACTTGTGTATAAATCTCATATTTGTAAATATACATTGTAAATATATTTAACATAAGGGGGAAATCCTGGATGACTGTTTAAATGCTTTACAGAGTCATGCAGCGTGAGGTTCAAACTGCAGTGCAGTAGTTCAAGCTTCTAAACCTTCAGCTACACCATCCATCTCTTTTTCTCAGTTAAAGTGAGATTATTCTTTTCAGCATGGCCATGAAACATTTACAAAAAATCACATGTAGCTACTCACTGAAGTCACACATTTATCCAAGGTGCCGGAGCAGAGTGATTATCACTGTCTGATGTGGCCCGGATGGAGCAGTAAATCATCTGCCTAAAAACTGTTGATAATTTTAATTTTGTCATTTATCACCACAGTGAATTACTGTAGGGGTGAAGAGACAAACTGATGGCGTGTGTTAAGGTATTTTTCCTGTCCTAGGTGAGGAGGAGTTTTTTGTTACAGTGGTTTCTTTTTAGACTCAAGAGTTTTAAGAATACAACACCTTTTGGGGCATTTTCTGTTTTTCGAACTGGAACAGAGTACTTTGGTCATTTTAGGCAAGACTTCTTTCACCAATAAATCCACAGTGTTGACCGCGAGGATGTAACTTTACAATATGACAGACACTTACATGCTCATCAATAGTGTAAGCATGTCCCTCTGCCAGCTTGTTGGGACGGTATGTGTCCCCCTCACTGATATCATATCCTACAATCACCACCGCTGATGGAAAAAGACTCAGGTTTCCTATGTGGTCTGAATGCCCGTGAGTCCCCACGACCAAGTTAATGTCTCCCGGTGCCAGACTTCTCTCTTTCAGTTTCATTAGGAGAAAATCCCGGTCCCACGGTCCCCCGGTGTCCACCAAAATAGTCCTGGGCCCTGTTATGAGGGTGATGGTCCCATCGGCTTTGAACGTCCCGTCGGTCTGAGAGACACAGTATCCGGTTTTAAGGACGGACACAGAGTACGGCTGACCGGGGAAGTCCGACTCACACTCTGAGAGAGCGACTGTTTGTACCTGGCCACAGACCACTTTACTGTCCGTCCCCATCATGTCAGCAAAGTTCACAAGCAAGAGCTGCGGGAGCTGGACAAGAACCTTCCAGCCGCCGCCACTCTTCAGTCCAAAGCATTGTAAGAGATGCATACTGCCACCTACTGTATCGGCGGGTGTATAACCAGGCAAAATAAAGCTTGCAGTGCACGGGTAATCCACCAGGGGGCAGAGTGGAGCTAAAATGGACCAGCGACCAATATGTGTTTTTGCAAGGATACTTTTGCCAACTTAAAGTGAGAAAAAACATTCAAATTGTTACTGATACTGATGCAAAGTATAATTACTTACTATTTCATAACTGATTTTATAGCAAAATCGTGTTGAAAATGTGTGTCAAATAAGAAATTAGATACAGCAGTTAGCCTATTTCAGGTCATTTATTTATAAATCTGTAAATCATAGTTTTATTGCATTTTATTCATTATGCATTCCATAACACAACATACACTCTTTTGATTATTAAAGTAAAGCAATTAAAGGTTAAAATAACATAACTAGATGTATTTAGAGTAGAAACAGAGATATGTTTTGCCTATATTGTGTTGTCCTGCTGTGTCAAGATGATCGATGACTAGCTGACCAGGATTGTCTGGGCACCATACATGTATTTCAGAGATTGTGTGACTGATGAAATGCAACAGGAAATTGCAGAAAGAAGGAAAGTCAGTGAACACAACTGCCAATGAAATTGAGCAAGTTCTGGTATATGCACATGGGGTTAGTACAGATGCCCAATGTGTGAGCCTACTAAGCACCCCGATGTGATTTCTGAAATTGCTGACACTGATTCACTTTCAGGACAACCCTAATAGGTCTGATAATGTTAAGAAAGATAAACCTTGGAAACTCAGGCCATGGTTACAAAAACAAATGCAAACTATTTTGCATACCTTCTGAAGAATGTCACACTGTTGATGAAATCATGGTGCATTTTAATGGCAAATTGCAACATTGTGTGTTTTCGCTAGCAAAATTTCACAAGTGGGGTTCCAAGGTGTGGGGATCTGCTGGTCAGAGTTGCTTTCTTTATATCTTTGACGTTTGCCAAGGGGCAGAAAATCCAGACCAAGCTAAATCTGATGTTGGTGTCACTGACACATTGTCCTGAAAATGACCTCCACCCTTCCAGCGGTAGAGAATTGCAAGGTTTTTGCAGACATTTACGTCGGTTCCACTTGTGGAACACTTGAAAGACGTGATTCTACCAAATAGGCACAGTCCCAATGAACAGGGTTAAAGACTACGACATGATGGATTAGATAGATACAAAACAAAACTCATACATGCAAAGTGCTATTTAAAAGGTATAATAAACACTCCAGTTTCTGGATTTTCAGGAAATTATTTGATGGTTCAGGCTTTACAAATTCAGAAACTAGAGATTATGCTGCAAGAATGTCTTGTTTGGGTAGCAAATAAAATGGCAGAAGAAATCATTTACAAAACAAGAAAGAAAGATAAAGGAAAGGGAAATTGGTATATAGTTGATTAAAGACTAAGACCAACACATAAACATTTATTCCAGTATATACAAATGGATCAAAGTAACCTAAGAATGGAAAGACTAGATTTACTTTGTTATCCCAGATTTCAATATAAATATTAAGGAAAGAACACCAGACCACTAAACAGTACAGTCAACATGTTAACTATTGTGTTTACAGTGGATAAAGAAAAAGCTTTTAAAAAGTTATTGTTCAGACTTATCAGCGTGGTATCTTTGCAGTCATCCCATAGCATTCAGATTTTTGTGGATCCCAGCTCATAGGAGCATCGTGGAGAATAAAATGGGAGACTCAATGGCTAGACAAGCTCTGAAGCAGGACAGAATTGTATAGGTATAGGTAGCTTTCAGTAAAGCTGAAGCTAGAGCAGTAATACAGAGAGCAATATCATGACTGCCTGGCAAAAACAGTGGGATGAAAGAATCAGCCAATATAAAGTAAAGCCCAAAGTAGGCAGAATAGTATTGAATTTTAAGAATGTATTTAGCATTGAGGGATTAAAGTATAATGCTTTGTTTGAGTTTTTAAAAGAAACTCGAACAACGAAGAGAATTTAAGTCATTTTATTTGTTTCTTACTGCGGGCAACTCTGGCCCACACTCCTGCGTAGTAGGTGGCGGTAATGCACCTTAAACGTTTGTTGCCACCCGCCATTAAAGACAGAGAAGAAGACGACACGTAGCCTCAATAATGGCGGAGAGTACAGTTTCGAATGAAGGCTCGTCTTTTATGGATCCTCTTAAAGGGCTTTTGTTGACATATTTTATGCCCGAATCATGTTACGACGAGTTCTTTCTCAATTTGAACTTCTTGGACGGTAAGTGGCTCGTTTTTGTTGAACACCGGTTGTAACAATCGAAATGGCACTTGATGCAACGATAGCCTGTTACTCAATGTGTAACGTCATGCTGATAATAAACTAGCTGCATTTGTTTAATGTAGATTCCACTTTTGATTTAAAAATAAGAGGTAGTTTGGACTGTCTAGTCGTGGTCGTGGTGGTCGTTTGGTCTGTTTGTATGAACGCAATTCAAAATGTAAGTTATGTTGCAGACAAACCTGGTGACCTTATTTGAGAGAAATTAAGCAACCTGTCTCCTGCTAAATACATTCATAACCCTTTTGTTTTGTTGGAAACATTCATGCCCAACTTTACATGGTTTATGTTCACTGACAAGGTGGGGTTTCATAAATGTGCCTCTGAAAAGCATAAGTTACCGTGAGAAGCCTGAACAAACAGAACCAGGATGTTTCAAAGCTGGTTTGGAGTTAAGTCTAAGTGAAGTCTGTGTTTATTTCACAACTTTGAATCTTTATTTCTTTCAGATTTTTTTTCTCCTGAGTGAAAATTGAAGAAACCAGATGGTTAATTGTGTGGTTAAACTTTTCTTTATGGTCAGAATGTGACACTCAATGCCAAACAGTGGATCACTTCACAAATCTGACTTAGAACATTCAAAACTATTATGATGAAATTTCATATGAATTAAACCAAATATTTATTGACGATATATTGAACAGTTATTATATTGTTATAGAGGAAAATTATATTGCGATAACTCTCATTATTGTTTTATTGCCCAGCCCTACCATTAACACCCGTTTGGTATAAATTGTTTAATCCTACACCCGACAATATGCCTACAAAATCCCTGACTCTGAGTACACCCTTCACATTTTTGTAAATATTTGATTCTATCTTTTCATGTGACAACACTGAAGAAATGATACTTTGCTACAATGTAAAGTAGTGAGTGTACAACTTGTATAACAGTGTAAATTTGGCTGTGTGATGTGTTATTTTGAGGGGACAGCAAATTTGCACTGTTATACAAGCTGTACATTCACTGCTTTACATTGTAGCAAAGTGTCATTTCTTTCAAAAATGTGAGGGGTGTACTCACTTTTGTGAGATACTGTAGAAGAATTAATGATACCAAGTAATGTTATGTTACACTTCTCTCTTGTTTGCAGACTCATCTCTTCTGTTCCTCTTGATTCGCTGAGTAATGATTTTGTGTGTGTGTGTGAGTTGATGTGATCTTTGACAAACAGCTAATCTGTATTTTCTTTTATAACATTTTGATCCAGTACCATGTCTGAAGATTGTACTGAGCAAAGGCCTGGGGATCGGCATCATCCTGGGATCAGTAATGGGTAAACCTCATCTCCGCTTCTCTTTATGGCTGTCTTTATTTGAGCACCTGATGATGAAAGTTTTTTTCAATTTTAATCACATTTTAGTCATTAGTTTTAGTCTAGGTTTAGTCAATGAAAACTAAAGACAAGTTAGGAAGTTTAGGTCATCGAAAGTATAGAAGACTGAGTATAATTTTCATCCTGTTTGGTGCTAATCATTCATCAGCAGCAGCTTTAAAGTTATAATTGTGTTGTAGTATATTTTTTCTGAGGATATTCCAACTGCAGTGATGATGCAATAACATAACCATAACATAATGAAAGCTCCAGTTATTTAGAATATATATTTATTCAGGGAAGTTTCACTGAGAGCCCAGCTCTCGTTTGCAGTAACACCTTGACGACACTCACACACCTGGAAGCTGCCCAGCACAACTACATCTGGGGGGAGTTCAATCTCAAAACGTTTTGCAACAGTTTGCAACATTTCTGGATCGCCTCGCTCAAGGGCATGTTAGTGGTTGATAATGAGGGAGAGGCATGTGCTGGTATTTCACTTTATCCTTTATCCTTTTATCCTGCTGGTCTGGTCATTGAACTGGCGTTTTTTTGTGAAGTGAAGAAAATCAAATCTAAAGCCATATGATTCCATCAGACGGCCGGTGTTGGTTCGTTACAGTGTGACAGAAACATTCATTTTGATTCTGCTTATCATTTCCTTAAGTTTGGACTTAGTGCTTTCCCTGCCTGTCCTGCCTGCTACACATTTAACACAAACAACTAAATGTGTCTATAACACTGTGTATCCAAAAGTGTCAAATACTGAAAGCTGACAATGAATATTTGGTCAGATTCATAATCTGACTTACTTCAAGATTTAAATCCAGATATTGCCAGGGTTAGATTGTATTTAAACTTAAGTTCTTGGGTGCAGCTACCTTTGTAGACAGTATTTGGGAACTGGCTTCTTTTGAGTTTTGTTAAAAATATGTTTATATTTCTTAAAGTAGGATATTAAAGTATTGTTTTGGTATCAGTACCTAGGTATCATATTGGCATTAGTGTTGAAAAATTTTCAACAATAAATAGCTTAACTAATCAGCTAAAAGGTCCTGTGAAAGGAAAAACCAGTACTTTTTGTACTTAAATTTATTTTACAGTGGAAGCTTTTAGAAAGTTTTATATAGAAAATGGACGGGTGAACAAAATACTCAAAACATATCTGGCTATTTATAACTTAGAAATGTTATCTGCAGTCAAAGTCCGCTGGTAAAAGAAATTTGGGATTTTGATTGTTTTTTTATTACAGAAATTATATGAAATGTTGAATGTTTACTTTGACATTCCTTCCTCCCTTGTTTGCAGTCAAGCTGCCTCAGATCTTAAAGCTAATGGGAGCAAAGAGTGCTGAGGGGCTGAGCTTCAAGTCTGTGCTGCTGGAGCTGCTGGCCATCACTGGAACAATGGCCTACAGTATCGCCAACAAGTTCCCTTTCAGGTTAGAATGTACATAGAGCAAGCTGACTTGTTGTAATCACTATATAACTGCACTGTATATTGATTAAGATGAAGTGCTTTACCTTTTGGTTTCATATTGAGAAACAATTTAAGTAACTTGCTGAATGTTCCCTCAGTGCCTGGGGCGAGGCTCTGTTCCTCATGATGCAAACGGTCACCATAGGCTTCCTCATTCAGCACTATGGAGGAAGAAGCAGCAGAGGTAAAACTGAAACTCAGCAATCTCTCAGAGTCAAGTTTTAGCTTAATTTTAAGACCAAGGCTTGCCCCACCTCTCTCTGTCTCTCTCTCTGTTTCTCTGACTTTCAGCATTTGCGCTGCATTTCGGTTTGTTAATGACATAGCCTATCAAACAACCGAAACCAACATCTGCGCTCTGTGAGTTCACTGTTGGTTCACCTGGTCTGTGCTTGTAAAATATCCTTGTAACGTCATAGGCTCCCAAGTTTTTACCCAGTGAAGTCTAAGCCAGTGAGCACGTCACCTTAATAAGACTGTGCTCCACACCCGATGTCGTCATCCATTCCATTCATTGTAGACATTGCCCAACCCTTGTCTCAAGTTACATTTTGCTCTGTAAAGTAACCAGATTCGTTAGCTCTGCGGCCAACAAATCCCTGTGTGAATCTTTTACACACAATCTCTCTTTAGCCTCTTTCAAACGCTACAAACCAGGACTGCCTTAACTTTAACTTTCCAAAATGTGAATACACTTTATTAAAGGCAATGAAACTACAAAATACAATATTTGCAGGACTGATGACAGTGGGTACGATGACAGTCCCTTGCTTAAATATTTATCCACCATCCATCACGTTAAAGTTAAGAACTTGTGGCATTTTTGGAGAACTTGAGAAGGACGAGTGCTCCTCCTCAGCCTAGCACCGGTATCACACCGTGTTTTATGGCCCATCAGATTCTGTGACCTGTAGCAGTGCAACAACCGTTTTTCCTTCAGGTAAGGTTAAGTGCATCCTGCATGCAGTTTGTATTAACTAAATGATAAAGCATGTTGTTTTTACTTAAGCTTCTGCGCCTTTTGCACAGTCACTGTAGAAATAACTCTACTACTTCCTAATTCTACTTAAGGTTAATTGTTTTTCCAGCCTCAGCTGGACAATAAAGTTGTAAAGTTATACAAAGAATATTGGCCAGCTAATCAGCCATCTAACTCTGAGCGAGGGAAGAGCATCACCCAGTCTGTGGCAGCTTTCAGAGCAGCTAAGGATCTACGGCCTTACTTGGTTGTAGAGAGTCCTTGCCACCTGCTGAAGACCCTGGAGCCGCAGTATATTTATATACACCACTATATAAACTACTAGTTTGATGCTGTTCAGTATTCCTGTTGTCTGCTGTGTTCAGAGTCATGTTTGTGATGTTTGCCACATTCAGGATGTGCCCTGTTTACTGTGTGAAAACCTTATTTTTCTTGATTACAGCAAACTTGTAACACTGCAGAAGGATTTATGATTTGTTTTTTCTAACATAAAAATATGCAGTTTTTTATATTATAGATAGGTTTTTGAAAGCATTTTCTAAATAAAAAGATTCAGATTTTTCTGACTGCTTGTGTTAATTGATGAGAAAGTAGCCATGTAATGCATCGAGAATCATTGTGCATTCAAACGAAAGGTGGACTGTAATTGAATTTGGTGGGTTGGGTTGTAGATTCACACATCTTCAACCCACACAACCCATGTGAATTTTTACATTGAAATAAAACTCTACAGAAGCCCCAGAAAAACTCCAACCCAGATTCAGTCTAAAAGATATCCTTTGCCGCTCTGACATTGGCCCTCAGATCAGCTACAGTGTTTGTTTCCGCTCTCCCAGGTCTCCTGTTTCTGGTCGTGTATTTTGGCCTGCTGGTCCTCGTACTGTCTCCAGTCACTCCCATATCAGTGGTTACCTCCATGCAGGCCTCTAACGTGCCAGCCATCATCATCAGCAGGGTAGGCAAAGATGTATTAATAATAATGAATAAATAATTCAAACACTTTATTGTGTTGTTAACCAACTGTTTTCAGTCTTTGTCAGTGCCATCTCCTTGTGTTTATAACTGAGACTTTATTTGAGACTTAAAAAGGTTGTTTCTTTGTCATGAGTTTCAGATTAGTTTCATTATGATGAAATCTGTGTCGTCTTGAACAGGTCACATTGTGACCTAACCCAGTGTACCTTAGTGACACAATTAGCATTAAAATGTACAGTACTCCTCTGTTCTCAGAGTCATAACTCTGTTTTTTTGACCACTGGAATCAGCAGAACTCAGTCTTTCCAGTGAATGTACAGTATATATATGAATTAGCAATTAAGATATTTATTTAAGATTTCACTTTATTTTACTTATTTGGTGAAAAAAGATTTTATCACAATAGTTTTGAATGTGTTGCCTCCTGTTTTGTTAAGTGATCCACTGTTTGGCATCAACTGTTTTGTTCTGACCATAAAGAAAGCACAATTAACCATCTGGTTTCTTCAATTTTCACTGAGAAGCACCAGTCCGCCTTTAAACTTGAAGGAAATAATGATTTGACATTTATCGTGGTAATTATCGATATTGAATCATATGATTTTTTATCGTGTTAACATTTTTGGCCGTATCGCCCAGCCCTACTTGTCATTATGGCGTGTAGATGTTCTAATCAGTATTAACAGTAATCCAGTGATTGTTATCTGTTTCCATTGTTACAGTACAAACAGGAACAAATGCAAAATGACTTTCTACTTTGCAAATTCACCAAATTGTAAATGAATATATACTAAAGAAAGAAAACCACTATACTAACATAAAGAAAAGTTACTAATGCACCAACAGAAACACACAACACAAAGAGACTGACAGTGTGTGTTGTTGTCTCAGCTAATCCAGGCATGGTCTAACTTTTGTAATGGGCATACTGGCCAGCTGTCTGCGGTTTCTGTCTTCCTGCTGTTCGCTGGATCCCTCGCCCGCATCTTCACCTCACTACAGGTAAGAGGACTGTGTCTGGAATATGACTGATGGATGACATTTTAAAAATGATCAGTGCTACTCTTCTTGCACTGTATGTATGTATGTATGTATGTATGTGTATATGTAATAAATAAAGGACCCTCCCACACACTCCACCTGAATAAACATTTGATGTAGTCTGGACATTACCACCTGTACCACTGAGCAGAGAAGATATCAACAAACAACCAGGGAACAGATCCACATCCAGCTCTCCTAACTGGCTTTAAAAACCAGACTGACAGAATATCTGATAAAGCCTGAAAAAGATGTGAGATGTTCAGCAGTGGATGAAGTAATGAGATCCTTTACTTAAAAATACCACACTAAAAATACTCGAGTACAAGTAAAGTCCTGCATTCAAACCTTACTTAAACCTGCAGTGTGGAACCTTTTGTCTCCCCCTTCTGACAGTGAGAGTAATTACACAACACTGTCCACACATGCTTATGAGGTATAGGCTCTGCCATAATGAGTTGCTGCAGCTCTGGCAAACCAATTATTGCTGGCTGGCATAAAACACATCACTACCTGTCTGCCAGCATGGAAATTTTACACACTTAATCATTACTGTGTAAACTCGTTCACATTTATTTGTCCCGCAAACTTTAAGTAAAAGTATGTATTATCAGCCAAATTTAATTTAAAGTATCAAAAGTAAAAGAACCTTTTGTGCAGTCAGTGTTTTTATGTTACGTGTTTGGATTTATAATATTGCTGCATCAATGTGTACGTTGCATGTTACTGCTGTAGCTGCTTACAGTTGAGCTCATTTTTACTACTTTATAGTTTAAGCTACAGCAACACATCATATTCTATAAAATCATCATGTTTGTAGTGAACCTCATCTGTAAGAACCACGCACCTCTAAAAAGTCAACTTTCCATGCTTTGTGACAATACATTTCCCAGCTGATCAAATGAATAGCCGAGTCCCAAATAGCTGCCTATCCCTGTTTACTGGCCTGGTGTGAGAACACATTTTGACAAACAAACGCAGGTCTCCATTAAACACCTGGCCTGGCTAAGTTCTTTAGATGGATAAAACCTCTTGAACTCCGCCGGGTTGCCTGCTTTAAGCTGCTTGGATCATGCATACAAATACTAATGTTGAAACGTATGATCAATATGTCAGTATGGACGTGCTACACATCGTTAGATGGTTAGATTCTCCACAATTCAATCATTCAGTTCATTTAACGAAAACAACAAGTCCAAAGTCTAATTCTTATAGATTTACCAGTGTAACTGGTAACTCTATTGATGAAAAGGAAAAGAAAAGTGCAGACTCCCATTATCTTTGAAGTGCTCATTAAGTCCGAATGTGTCCGTTCCTTTATTATTTATATTCCTTTAGTCTGAAAGGGTCCACCGATCAAAAGAATCAAAACAGCCTTTCATAAAAATTAATCCAAGTTGTGAATCCTGTCACGTGAAGTCCATTGCTCTCTGTCTGCTAACTTCTGCCACACTTTTCTCATCCTGCACCGTGCTGTTGTTTTCATCACGTTGCTGCCTTCAAAATAAAAGCGCGTAAGCCGTCTGTCGGAGCCAGATCAAATGAATAACTTGTATTTGATATTATTGGATAATTTTTATAAAAGTAATATTCTATTTGAAATAAATAAACTTGTTTCATATTAGCCTATTTCAGTTTTGTGCAAAAGGAATTAAAGGCAGGGTCAATTCAGTGATTTTAGCTAATAAATGCCCGGGCTATTAATCAAAGTTTTATGGTAGCCCTAGTATCCAGTAAATTCACTATGTTTTAACGCCTCCAAAAATGCTAAGCTAACTAATGTAAACATTAATGTATGCCATTAGTTATTTTCTGATTAATTTGTGTACACATTTCACATGTATATTGTTTTGAGCTGCCTTGTCTTTTTAAAGGAAACCGGAGACTCACTGATGGCCCTCACCTACGTCATATCATCAACTTGTAACGGCATCATCGCTCTGCAGGTCCTCTACTACTGGAACAGCTCCCCAGAACGCAAAAAGAAGAAGAAAAAGAAGAGAGAGTAGGCAAAGGACAGATGCTAAGAAGAGTGTTGCTCTAAGATTAAAGTTTAGCACCAGACACTCTCAAAGAGGTGTCTTCAAAACGTTAAAGAACTAATTGAAATGCATGAACAGAGCCACTGGGGAGTGTGGCACATGGAATCTGCTGGACAAACAATAGGCTTGGAAGTTGGGATGTGAATGCAACATGCCCAGCAGATCACGTAGGCCCACTGGCTTTATGATTGACAGTTAGCTGGTTTTATTGGTGATGTTTAGCTCTGAGCAGGACTGCTGGGTACAGACTCCCGCTGTGCAAAACACCGTTATTACATTCCTCTTGTTCCAGTTTTCCTAATTATAATCAGGCTATGTTCACACTGGTGTGTTTAAAATATTTGGAAATGGTTTGTGCACTGACATGTTGACATTTGACATTTGACATTGACAGTTTTCACATTGAGGGACCCTGATTACTATCCTTATCATCACTTTTTTCATCATTTTTTTGGGGGGGGGGGGGGATTGATTTGAAACAGTTTTGACATTGGATGCATGTAAAGAATGATTAGTTGTTTTATAATTTCACATAAACATAATTCCACACTAGCTCCTACATTTGTACGGTCTATTCTATGGTCTGTTAGGTGACATTATGGGCTGACATCATTGAAAATGTGTGCAATATGATGCAAATTACCACTTACTTGTGACACCTATGAAAGCTTCTGAATTTGATATTTCCTTACTCCTTGATCTTCACTTGAACCGGAGGTTGTTCTGGTCCGCCACCTTGTAGGCCATTCCAAAGGCGCCATCCGATTTTTGGCAACTCAGCCTCTAATGGGCTAGTACTCTTAGCCTTCATTGGTTCCGTTGGTTATCCCAAAGCTCTTATTGGTGCTCCAAGTAGTGAGGAGTGATCTGAGGAGCCATGAGTGAGGATACCTGAGAGCAGCCTTCACAGAAGTCTTTTACTGATTGATTGGACGCTGCAGCTGATCGTACTGAGCTGATACATCACAACAAGTTTCATTCCAGAGTGAAGACAGATTAAACTTGTGTGTCACTCCTGAGTTTTATATTTGATTTGTTTTCTGATTCACCATCTAGATATGAATCTGTGTTCATTGTAGGTCGGAACAACAAAGGACCACAAACAGATTTCTTCATTTATTAAAAAGATTTTTCTTTTCATGATTTGTTATTTCCCCTTTTAACTTTATCGATACAATTAAAGTCAGAGAGTCAGTCTGTCAGCAAAAATACTTTTAACATCATAGTCATTTCCATTCCATCACCATGCTCATATTTTGGATTATTCAATAATGAATTCACAATCAGTATATCAGTAAATACAGATGCAAATAAACACGTTCTGCCAGTAGAAGTTAGTCCTGTGCCCCTGAGCAGAACACAGAACACAGTATTATTACAGAATGCAGGTTGTATTTCATTTTCTAACTTTTGTCATGTTAGAAACAGGCATAGAGCAGTAAGACTAAAGACGGTTTCATTCCTTTAAGGGTTAATAGGATACCTGATCACTTCAATTTTCTGGTCAGACATGTAGTCTCCACATTTACCTGTTTTACTTCATTATCTACTCAGAGTCTAAACACTCAATCTAGGATACAACAAGTGGAGTGAGGACAGAATGAAGCTATCATACTACCAATAAATAATCAAGTAACCTTAAGACATATATTTAGGGTTAGGAAAAGGTTAAGAAATTAGTTGAAAATATTGTTGTTTGAAATCCATGCATCGTCAACCACTTATCAGGGTCGCGGGGGGCTGGAGCCAATCCCAGCTTACATCGGGCAAAAGGCGGGGTACACCCTGGACAGGTTGCCAGTCCAATCGCAGGGCCACACATAGACGAACAACCTCTCATGCTCACACCTAAGGACAATTTAAGGTCACCAATCAACCTAGGCCGCATGTCTTTGGATGGTGGGAAGAAGCCCAAGAACATGCAAACTCCACACAGAAAGGCCGGGGCAACCAGGTTTGAACCCACGACCTTCTTGCTGTGAGGTGACTGTGCTAACCACTGCACCACCATGCCACCAACACAAACTTCATAATCCATAAATTTAAAACAAAATCTACAAATAGGTTTAAAATCCACAAATAAAACACATCATGATCCACAAATAGAAATGAGTGATTTGTACTTGAAAATCAGAGTTTGAATAAATACTAAAGAATTTGTCTGTGCATAAGGGTCATTTCATTCTATTTGTAGATTGTTTTCAGAATTTTGACACTACTGTTTCACTATTTTGCCAATCACATTTTCTATAAATGTACTGTCACAATTTGCAAACAAACACAGTCTAACCACTGTTTGAAGACGTGTGTACAAATTCTGTGCAATGCTCAGCATTATCTAATCTGTGTTTGTGGATCACAGTGGATTTGTGGATTGCCTTGCATATGTCTACAAACTATTTGGACAGTGGTTTACCACTGAGAGTGTGACTACGAACCACAAATGTAGTCAGCCAATTAGGGGTATTGCTTCTATGCGTTGTCCCGTCCCCTCAATAAGCCAAGTCAAAATAAGAGCTGAAATGTGTCACAACGTGTACATCATCTACTCTGCATTTAATCCTGTGAGGGCTTGATAATTTAAGTGCTGAATTGTTATCCCCCCTACATAGTTGATGAAGTGTGCCTTTGTAATACAGTTTAATAACTCACTATGTATGCTGCAGTCCCGTTTCTGCTCTTGCTATGCGGTCCGGAAAAATTGCAGCATGCTGTGCAAACCTGTTTCTCCCGCCGTCTCTTGTACTGTTTAACTGTAGAAATGATTGCTATTTGTGTCTGTATCATGCTTAGTTTCTTGGTTTGTCCTCTGCTAGTCGACACTTTGGTAGTGAACATGCTACTAGTTCACCAAAACAGGATGAGAAAAAAAAAAATTAACCAATGAAATGACACATATAGTATACTTCCTCCCGTTACTAGTTTGAATGGTGTTCACACCAGAAATGAACCAATCCAGAGTTCACTTGACAGCAGTCTGAGACCAGCCCTTCGATGAGGACCAGAGAACAATTGTTTGAGCCAGAGTTCGAGTCCGGTGTTCACACCAACCCAAACGAACCGTACCAACGGGATAAATGCTCCAGGGCTCAGTTTGATCAGACTAATCAAGGCTGGTGTGATCCCACTGTAAGTGTAGTGTGCATTTGTCCAGCAGGTGGAGCGTGCTTCATGTGAGTCCAAGGGATGCTTCTGCTCTTCAGGGAGTAGACCTGCAGGAGACAAGCCTGAGAGTTTGTGCTTACCCGAAATCAAACATCTGATGCTGATTTTTTCTGAGCTCATAATAAGTAGATTTTTTTGGGAGATATGTGGCTCCCACAGGACTGCAACGCTACAAACACATGATGATCTTTTTACTGTACAATGTCATTTTCCTTTTCATACTTTAAGGAACTGTTACTAATAATACTTTTACTTGTTTTACTTGTAGTGTTGTATTAGTACTTTTGCCCAACTAAAAAAATTAAATATCTCCTACACCACTGTATAAAAAACGTCCCTAAAGAAAAAGTCACCCAGAACACATTGATTAGGGAGAGGAAAAGTCTTACCCTCAAAAAGCCCTCATGGGGACCTAAACCCCACCGCTTATTCAAATTAAAGCCCCCACCAGAACATAAAAACATGAAACACACACCATATTTAGAGTTGGATGGTTGTTTGGTTTATTACCTGAACCTCTGAAAGGCAGGTAGGTACTTATAATACATAGGGTAAGCACAACTTCACTGACTTGTCTCCTGCGTATCTAACAGCCTACTCTCTAAAGAGCAGAGGCAAAGCTCTGGTGCCCTTGACCCACATAAAGTTTGCGCCACCTGCAGGACAAATGCACACTACACTAAGTGCTCTAATAAAATTCATGGTGTGTCTTTAGGAAGTGGGCTACATTACTATTCAGAAAGCAGACATACGACAGAGTGTGACAGAGCAGACGGGACAAAACAATGGGAAGAAACACAGTGATAGCTGTGGACTATTTGTCCTCTACTACTTTACATAATTTAAGATGACATCAGCTTCATTCAAGTGTGGTGATGGCAACAGGGAAGCAATACACAGACACTAATCACAATCATTTATACAATTATACAGTACAAGACAGACTGTGGTACGGCAGCATACATAGTATGTAACTGTACAAAGGCACATTTCACCAACCAAACTATGAACGGGGGATACTTATTCTGCACTTAAAGTTATGCACATGAAAACAAACAGAAAGTCCACACAGGATTAGATGCAGAGTCGATGATGTACATGTTCTGACATGTTTCAGCTCTTATTTAGAAGACCTTCTTGAGTGGACGTGACATCCTATAGAAGCAATACCCCTGAGTGGCTGACTACATTTGTGGATCATTGTCACACGTAGTCAAACTAGTGTTAAAGTGATTTGTAGACAAATGCAAAGCGATCCATAAACACAGATTGGACACTTCAATGCTGGGCTTTGTACAGAATTTGTACACACGTCTTGAAACAGTGGTTTGACAATACAAGTTAGACTATGTTTGTTTGCAAATTGTGAGAGTGCATTTGTAGAAAATGTAATTGGTAAACAGCGATACAGTAGTGTCAAAATTCTGAAAACAAATGTGAAACAATTTACAGATAGAATATGACAGTGTTTCCGCTAGTAATGTCTCACATAGCAAAATAATCACTAAAAAAAACAAAAGTGTTTTTCCATATTGTGAGATATTTTTATATAGCCAGCAGGCCTTTAAAAATGCAAGTTCCAAATGGCATTTGTGAACACTGCTCTCTGCGCTTTTGTGTGGCTGAATGCCTCCTGTACAGCAACTACAAAGCCGGGGTGCATTTGTTTACCCTGTTGGAATGTAAGGAAATAAAGTTTACATTTTTGTAATCAATTTTTTCCTCCACTATATCGAATACAAAAGTTCAAACAGACATCTGTAGTTCATTGCAATACCCATATTTGAGAACATGACTTCCACATATACTGATAAAATCAAATCCTTTCAATTGGTAAAATAAACAACATAATAAATAAAACGTTTTATGCTGTCTTGTAAAAATGTTACTTCAGAGGGTTACTTCATGAGGTTAAAATGTAAAAAGCTAAAATGAATTTAAATGCTTCAAAAACAGGAGGAGAGCTACATTTGTCTGAATAATATTTTGCCACAGAAATTCAGTTTATCAGAATTTGATGTTCTCATTATCAGACACAGCTTAACCGTGTCATGTGACATGCTTTAATGGGAACAAATATTACTGGGACCAGAATTCCCATTAGCTAAACTGCAAGAGGAACCTGTGAACTATAAATAAAATCTAGAACTAAATTTCTATTTGTTTTGAACATCTTGCTTTTTAACTGTGTAAATTAACCTTTTTTTATAAAATATGCAATTGCAATATCATTTTCTTCTCTTCTCTTTAAATACATTGCTTGTGAAAGTGTTTGGCTGAGCCAGTTGAAGGCATGGCACACATGCAAATGTGTGGACATGATCAGGATGATACCACATCTGCCTCATTTTGAGCCAGGAAGAACCCTGGATGTGCTTATTTGTGGATTTTGAATATAATTGTAGGGGTTTTTTTTATACTTGTGTGGATCATGAAGAGTTTGTTTATGGATTTTAAATCTATTTGTAGATCATGGTTTATGTTTACAACTTGTAACATATATTATAACTCATACTCTATGCATTTACAATGATACTGAAATCGATTTACCCCAATATTAATCTGTCATCTTCCAGAACAATCCTGGCTTTGTCGTATCAGACAGAGGAGTAGCGCTTCTGTTGGCTGTGGTGGTAGAAGGCATGTTTCTACGAATCCATTCCAACTAGACCAATTAACCAACTGTATGAACTTTGAGAGCGGTGAAATGTGAGAAGAGTCAAATATATACTTTTAAACAAAATTGACGGATCACCCGATGGAGCTTGCACACAGCGTTTCTACATTGCTTCCCCTGGTGAACCACTCCCTAGGAAATGTCACCACTTTGATACTCAGACAGATCACACATGCTCAAACACTTGACCAGAGACCAAGAAAAATAGTTAGATTTAGCTGGAGGCTGAATAGAAGCCACTTGAGGGTAGCAAAACGTAGACCCTCAACTGGATATTGTTGTGAACTGCGCCACCTAA